AGTTTATTTTCTCTTCAACTGGCATACTTACATTCAGATAAGCATTCAGTCACCTTTTGATTCATCTTATTGTTCATACCACACCATAATATTTGTATTAAAGTGTGGCTATACCCAGTCAATGTTCCTTACCAATACCATGTTATCTAAAAATCGTACTTTATGTTATTATTGTACTTTATGTTATCTAATACCGTACTTTATGTTACCCAGTCAATGTTCCTTACCAATACCATGCTATCTAAAAACCGTACTTTATGTTATCTCATACTGTGCTTTATGTTATCTAATACCGTACTTTGTTATCTAATGTTATCTAATACTGTGCTTTATGTTATCTAATACTGTACTTTATGTTATGTAATACTGTACTTTATGTTATGTAATACCGTACTTTATGTTATCTAATACTGTACTTTATGTTAACTAATATTGTACTTTATGTTATCTGATATTGTACTTTATGTTATCTAATACCATACTTTATGTTATCTAATACTGTACTTTATGTTATCTAATACTGTACTTTATGTTATCTAATACTGTACTTTATGTAATCTTATACCGTACTTTATGTTATATAATGTTATCTAAAAACCGTACTTTATGTTATCTAATACTGTGCTTAATGTTATCTAATACCGTACTTTATGTTATCTAATACTGTACTTTATGTTATCTAATACCGTACTTTATGTTATGTAATACCGTACTTTATGTTATCTAATACTGTACGTAATGTTATGTAATACTGTACTTTATGTTATCTAATACTGTACTTTATGTTATCTAATACTGTACTTTATGTTATCTAATACTGTAATTTATGTTATCTAATACTGTACTTTATGTTATCTAATACCGTACTTTATGTTATCTAATACCGTACTTTATGTTATCTAATAATCTACTTTATGTTATCTAATACTGTACTTTATGTTATCTAATACCGTACTTTATGTTATCTAATACTGTACTTTGTGTTAGCTAATACTGTACTTTATGTTATCTTATACTGTACTTTTTGTTATCTAATGTTATCTAATACTGTACTTTATGTTATCTAATACTGTACTTTAATTTATCTAATACTGTACTTTATGTCATCTAATACCGTACTTTATGTTATCTAATATTGTTCTTAATGTTATCTAAAATCGTACTTTATGTTATCTAATGTTATCTAATACCGTACATTATGTTATCTAATACCGTACTTTATGTTATCTAATATTATCTAATACTGTACTTTATGTTATCTAATGTTATCTAATACCGTACTTTATGTTATCTAATACTGTTCTTTATGTAATCTAATGTTATCTAATACTGTACTTTATGTTTTCTAATACTGTATTTTATGTAATCTAATACTGTACTTTATGTTATCTATTAACGTACTTTATGTTAGCTGATACCGTACTTTATGTTATCTAATACTGTATTTTATGTTATCTAATACTGTACTTTATGTTATCTATTACCGTACTTTATGTTAGCTGATACCGTACTTTATGTTATCTATTACTGTACTTGATGTTATCTTATACTGTACTTTATGTTATCTAATAATGTACTTTATGTTATCTAATACTGTACTTTATGTTATCTAATGCTATCTAATACTGTATTTTATGTTATCTAATGTTATCTATTACCGTACTTTATGTTATCTAATACTGTACTTTATGTTATCTAATGTTATCTAATACTGTACTTTATGTTATCTAATACTGTACTTTATGTTATCTAATGTTATCTAATACCGTACTTTATGCTATCTAATACTGTACTTTATGTTATCTAATACTGTACTTTATGTTATCTAATACTCTACTTTAATTTATCTAATACTCTACTTTATGTTATCTAATATCGTACTTTATGTTATCTAATACCGTACTTTATGTTATCTAATACTGTACTTTATGTTATCGTATACCGTACTTTATGTTATCTAATAATGTACCTTATGTTATCTAATGTTATCTAATACTGTACTTCATTTTATCTAATACTGTTCTTTATGTTATCTAATGTTATCTTATATCTAAAACCGTACTTTATGTTATCTAATGTTATCTAATACCGTACTTTATGTTAGCTGATACCGTACTTTATGTTATCTAATACTGTACTATATGTTATCTAATGTTATCTAATACCGTACTTTATGCTATCTAATACTGTACTTTATGTTATCTAATACTAATACCGTACTTTATGTTATCTAATATTGTACTTTATGTTATCTAAAACCGTACTTTATGTTATCTAATGTTATCTAATACTGTACTTCATTTTATCTAATACTGTTCTTTATGTTATCTAATGTTATCTTATACTGTACTTTATGTTATCTAATACTGTACTTTATGTTATATAATACTGTACTTTATATCTAATGTTGTACTTTATGTTATCTAATACCGTACTTTATGTTATCTAATACTGTATTTTATGTTATCTAATACGGTACTTTATGTTATCTAATGTTGTACTTTATGTTATCTAATACCGTACTTTATGTTATCTAATGTTGTACTTTATGTTATCTAATACCGTACTTTATGTTATCTAATACTGTACTTTATGTTATCTAAAACCGTACTTTATGTTATCTAATGTTATCTAATACCGTACTTTATGTTATCTAATACTGTATTTATGTTATCTAATACTGTACTTTATGTTATCTAATACTATACTTTATGTTATCTAACACTGTATTTGATGTTATCTAATACCGTACTTTATGTTATCTAATACTATACTTTATGTTATCTAATACTGTACTTTCTGTAATCTAATACTATTTTTTATGTTATCTAATACTGTACTTTATGTTATCTAATACTGTACTTTATGTTATCTAAAACCGTACTTTATGTTATCTAATGTTATCTAATACCGTACTTTATGTTATCTAATACTGTACTTTATGTTATTTGATACTGTTTTTTATGTTATCTAATACTGTACTTTATGTTATCTAATACCGTACTTTATGTTATCTAATACTTACTTTATGTTATCTAATACCGTACTTTATGCTATCTAATACTGTACTTTATGTTATCTAATGCTGTACTTTATGTTATCTAATACTGTACTTTATGTTATGTAATACCGTACTTTATGTTATCTAATACTTACTTTATGTTATCTAATACCGTACTTTATGTTATCTAATACTATACTTTATGTTATCTAACACTGTATTTTATGTTATCTAATACCGTACTTTATGTTATATAATATTATCTAATACTGTACTTTATGTTATCTAATACTGTATTTTATGTTATCTAATACTGTACTTTATGTTATCTAATTCTGTACTTTATGTTATCTTATACTGTACTTTATGTTATCTAATATTGTACTTTATGTTATCTAAAACCGTACTTTATGTTATCTAATGTTATCTAATACTGTACTTTATGTTATCTAATACTGTACTTTAATTTATCTAATACTGTACTTTATGTTATCTAATGTTATCTAATACTGTACTTTATGTTATCTAATACCGTACTTTATGTTATTTAATACCGTACGTTATGTTATCTTATACCGTACTTTATGTTATCTAATACTATACTTAATGTTATCTAATACCGTACTTTATGTTATCTAATATTGTACTTTATGTTATCTAAAACCGTACTTTATGTTATCCAATGTTATCTAATACTGTACTTTGTTTTATCTAATACTGTTCTTTATGTTATCTAATGTTATCTTATACTGTACTTAATGTTATCTAATACTGTACTTTAATTTATCTAATACTGTACTTGATGTTATCTAATACCGTACTTTATGTTATCTAATACTGTACTTTATGTTTTCTAATACTGTATTTTATGTAATCTAATACTGTACTTTATGTTATCTAATACTGTACTTTATGTTATCTAATACTTTATTTTATGTTATCTTATACTGTACTTTATGTTATCTAATATTATCTAATACTGTACTTTATGTTATCTAATACCGTACTTTATGTTATCTAATACTATTTTTTATGTTATCTAATACTGTACTTTATGTTATCTAATACTGTACTTTATGTTATCTAATACTGTACTTTATGTTATATAATACTGTACTTTATGTTATCTAATACTGTACTTTATGTTATCTGATACTGTACTTTATGCTATCTAATATTGTACTTTATGCTATCTAATATTGTACTTTATGTTATCTAATATTGTACTTTATGTTATCTAATACTGTACTTTATGTTATCTAATACTGTACTTTATGTTATCTAATACCGTACTTTATGTTATCTAATACTATTTTTTATGTTATCTAATATTGTACTTTATGTTATCTAATACTGTACTTTATGTTATTTAATACTGTACTTTATGTTATCTATTATCTATTGTGTATGAAGATAATGGATACATTAAAAAAAACAATGCAAGAAGAATGGCATTGGTTTCGGGAGAAACCGTACATGGTAAAAACAAACATTATCAATGTTGACACTGCACCAGACCTTTCATCATGAACATATATAAATGCTACCGACCGGGGAGTGTGAGCTGCAGGTACATCTATGTGAACATAAGGTCTTAATCTAATTAGTATGTTAGACGGATGACAAAGATGATTATCCAGCACATTCACGTGAGCGACAGGTACATTATTGATGTAAGTGTGTGTGTGCAAGGAATTAATACCTTTTCCTCACCTTTAATTATCACGATGTTTCTACATTAACATAGAGGGACTGGACAATGTGTTTGATCCTGTAAACATTTTTTTTTAAACTTTTAAACGTTATTTTTATATTGTTTAAATCATATATGTATATATCAATTAATTGATGTGCTGTAGGATACTTCAGTATCAGATTTGATAATGCATATCTTTAAATACGCATAAACAATTGATAAATGATTTTATAAGTTGGTATTTTCCAATGTTTTTTTTTTTAAATCATAAATACAAAACGTTAGAGGAAAATGTGTTCTTACCTGTATTAAATGTATTTTGTGTGTCCAAGGAGCCAGTTTGTTCGTGATATATCCCGAAAAATTAGTTTGTTCCCTTAAAGTGATCGTAACAGTCGTATTACCGACTTTATATTTCGATTTGTTGAAGCCAGGTCGCTATCCATCAAACGTTTGACATCCACCACCTTGTGACAAACGAGAGCCCGGCTACTTTGTTTTCCTGCAGAGTGACACAGAATAGAGAAAACGTGATGCTTATCCGCGTCTTTCCTACGTTTCTACTTCAACAGGTGTACAGTCAATGAGCCAAGACGACAATTACACTACAATAATAAGTAAGGTGTAAGGGAAGGGACGTAATCGATGGGTTCATCACAATCAAAGTGTGGGACAAGTGCATTATTGTTACGGATAATACCGCACCTTAACAGGTTAACGTGACCGGAAAAACGTTATGTCGGAAAAGCATGTGTTACTTTTATGCCATAATAATTAGATTGTTTAATTAAGCCAATGTTTTTAATTAAAATGTTGAAAACAAACAGTATTGCTTCACATGCAGATAAACACACGGCTTATGAGGATTTCTTTATGTTGCGATATTAAGTAGTATTATGTATTTTTGTAAATTGTTATACTGCGTCAAAGAATGTAAAATTAATGAACGTTTTACCAAATGGCTTATATGAAAATGGTGTTATGTTCTGTATGAATGCTTCTTATAAAGAAGAAAGACAGTGTGATAAGTGTAAAATATAAGTGTCTTAAATTTCAAAATCAATCCGTGCTGACAAATTATCTCAATGCTTTTTGTCAAGGTGCTTACTGAATTCTCGGAACCGAATAATCAAATTTCATTCTTAAGTATAGGCGTCGCTTTTCTCCGAAACATTTTCAGTATAATGTCCTTCTTGGGTATAGATTCTGCATTTAAAACATATCGCTGGCGTTCCGTTCCTTTTCTATTCCAATGTGTGCCGTATGCGAGTTGTCTGAAAGTTGATTTTATTGCCTTGTAGGTTTTATTTGTCCATTTGTCTTCATGTCGTCACGAAGTAAAGAAAGAAAACCAAATGTCGTTGGAGTTCGTTTGATTAATTTCACGACCTAATGCTAAATTTGCCAACAACGGGCAAAAGAAAACGACGGGCGAAAAGCAATCACAATAGGTCACCCTCGGAAAACGAAATAAGCAAACTCATTTGAAACAATTCTACCAGCAGATAGCTTTTAAGAATACATTTTAATAATAGAATGAGTGCCTGTTATTACCAGTAGAAAGTTGTTTCCATTTTCCGTTTCTCGGCAGTAACATATCAGTTTCCCCTCTTAAGGAGAATACTTGTCACATTTGCTTTACGATTCAATGAACATATATTTGGACATTCAAACAAATGCCCGATATTATTCAATGATATGAAATTTCAAGATATACCATGATGGAAAACACTGTAACTTGGATTGTTGGTGACCTAAATATTTTCCAGAATTTACTGGACAACATCAGGTCATGGTACGTTCCCATTTGATTTAATGTCTCCTTGATTTCTCTCTGTTTCTTCGTACAAAGATTTAAACCTTTTAATTTCCTTTTTTTTATTTTTTTTTTATCTGCATGTGTTTCAAGATGTAATAATAATGCTATGCTGTAACGGAGAACAACTCGGGGCGGCTACAGACGGGGATACATTGTACGACGGTGGCAGCTAGGAAGTGCGAACATTTGGAGACGGTACTTCGATGACAGTCAAAGAAATGGTCGGAATTTCGATCATGGAGAAAAAGATCGGGCAGTCGGGAGGGAGGAGACATCCTTACTATAATGGAGGTAGCGAAGCAAAAAGAAGACGCTATTTCTACGACTGTCGTCAGCATTAGCGTGCAACCGTGCAGAAAGAAACCATGTTTGAAAGGAAGAGGAAACGGGTAGGAGATGGACTCATTACGGTTGCAAATCCCAAATGTTTGGTACCGTCGACCTATTTATGTGTTCAGTTTGTGATTTGTGCTGATGTGTAATATCTACTGCAAACGATATTTGTTCTGCTTATCAAGTTTAAATACAACATGGCGCATACATATATAAAGAATCATGTATAATAATGAATCATCAGGAATAAGAATAAAAATCCCACCAACTGGTAACGTATAGAGTACAGACAAATGTTTAAGATCTGATAGTAATGATACAAATATAATCCGGAGTTTTTTTCCGATTTCAAGCATATTTCCAGTCTTGCACATATTCGTACAAAAACCGGGTTGTCTTTCTACGAATATGGATAATAAATGTGTAAAGTCAAAACCATGTCTAGAAGATGTTATTTTACCAGAAGAAATATTTTGTGTAAAAAAAACCCTCATATATAAACATCTAGTTTACAGCATAGAATGCAAACAAGGGAAGCAACTCCAGTGCACTTAATAAAAATATTGCGCCGTTTGCAAAGTTTTCATAATTGATAACCCAGAATTAGATTCTACGCAAAGTCGACGTGTTAGTAATAGTTTTCATTTTTAAAAATTATATTGCAGAACTTTTTTCATAATCTATTGTAACGTGCGAATTAGATTATTACTTGTTTCTTACAATAAAACAAATACCTACGTTTTTAGGATACTAGGAATTGTAATTTATAGTATAATAATAACTTAAATAGTTTATTGTAGAACTAATTGTGTTTCTTACTTTCTAATAATACTTTCATCATTTTCACGAAATAGTAAATCAATGATATTAATTTAAACAATAACTGCATCAATTGCCTGTCACTAAAGTACTATATCGTCAATTAATTAACGAATATTCGTGTCTTTATGGTACTGTAGAGATATGCTGTTATTCGAAGCAAAACATAACTAACACAAAAGTAAAACTCAGAAACACGTGAGAAAACAAATATCTCAATAGTTCCAAGCAGTTTTTTATTTTCTGGCTAAACCTTGTTTATCTTTACCATGATAGCGATACCGAACCGAGTTAACCGCATTTTACGATTACCATGTAACGGGTTAGCTAGGTCATCGGTTATCTGTCTTTTCGGGATATTGGTAGAGACACTCTAACCTGTCACGAGAAAAATCCGGTGGGTAGATGTGATACTATTTGGAAAGGTAACCACTGGATTTCGGAGATGTCTCTCTCCTGAGCCAAGCCAGATATATGGTCTTCTTAATGTTAATTATGTATCAACTATTTCAATTTATAGGTATAATGATTTTGATTGCGAGCAATCATTCGATATCTACTCTTGCCGATGCAAAATATCATCAGAGTCTCTAGTTAATCAATGTGACGTTTCATGCATCATGGATATATATAAAATCGATCTCCAAAAGCTTATCAAGTCATACCATATTACCCCGAGGGATTTGCTTTTGGTTTTATATGGTTTAGCGTCTGATCAACAGCTAAGGTCATTTAAGGACGTGTGAATGTACAAGTGTGTATGTGTGCCGGAGACACGGTATGTTGGTTTGCTTGCCTCCTTGTGATAGCGCGGATCTGATGCCGACTTTGTAGTGCTTAACTGCACAAAATTTGAGAAAAAAACAAAATGACAGCTATCAATTATAAACGTTACAACCCCTCCACAAATGTTATAACATTCTATATATATTTAATACTGGATAGTTAAGCAGTTGTGTTTAAAGAAATATATCTGGAATAATTAATTCCAGAATCAGATGTGACTGAGTTTATCATGTATAGAATTAAGCTTACGTAAAATGCGTCTGTTTGCAAATATTTGCAGTAACAACATTCTGATCTAACCAAGCGTGGTAAAAGGTAAGATAGAATGCAGATATGGGCGGCCGTTAGGATAAAATACCAATACTACTTAAGTGAAAAAAACGCCGGGTATAATTCGATACATGATGAGCAAAAGCGAAAACTGAGTCCCCATCGGATCATTTAACATAAAAAAAAAACATTAATTAAATTTTTAATATTTGTTTTTTTATAAGGGAAAACAACAACACTCTTTAATATTAAAATTAGGTCATTTAATATTTTAAAATGTCTTTTCAAATTAATGTCTATATTATGTGCTGTACAAATAAAAGATTGTTTAATGTAAACTAGGCTATATGAATTCTTAAGAATTTGTTTATACATGTATTGAATCTTGATAAACACACTGAAACGGTCTAGGCCTATGCAATGTGTTTCTGTATGAAATAGAAATGTTGCAGATGCTGTTCCTCTGCGCATGCGTAGATAGCATATTTTCCTAGAACGCGCCATCTTTGATTTTGTTATCGTGTGTTCGTCTCCCGTTACGTCCAGGTAAAACGGACTCAGCTGTGGTCTTCAATGTGCATCGTAGACTAATTAACTGCAAATAAGAGTTTCCAAAAATTTAGATACTAAGTAACGAGATGAAATGTGTTACATATATATAGCTCACAGAATACGCACATTGAAAGACTCAACACGACAAACTGACTCGGAGAAACTTTGAACTTGGTAGATGGATTTACCATAGACTGTTTACAACGGTATCCATCGGTGAAAAATCAAAACTCTGCAGTAATACGGAATTGACTTGAGAAGTGATTTTTATATGAAGAATTGACTTTGATGATAATATATAATAAATTATATCATCAAAGTCAGTTTTATTGTTGGTTGATGACCTGTGACCAGTACTAGTGCCGTTGCCGTTGGTGAAGAACCTCGCTCCCCCCACCCTCACCCGAGAAATTTAGCATTGGGCATCACGTTGTTTATAAATAAAGTTAAGACTTTAATTCTACTTGGACATTTATTATGCAATCAATTCCTCATATCTACAAAATACCAAAGACAACTTGAATTAAGTAAAAAAAAACACTGGCAGTGGCGGTTAGCTAGGCCTATATGCTAATAAAAACTAAGTAGACTTGCACAAGCCCTATTTGGCCTTTGATATTACAATATTCAGCTCGGTCCCCAACCATGTGGACTACCAAAGATACACAGAAAGGAATTAATAAGAAAAAAACTATAGACATATATGATATTTGCTACAAGATTTTTGTGTACAACTGTAGGCTACTATAGCTCAATACTGATTAGAACGTCTGTCTGGAGTCGATCATACATTGTATTAATCTAGCTTTTCCTTTTCTTGTTACATTTGGCAACCAACTAAATATATCTATGGGATGTGGTATAGAATCTTGTTTATGGGTGTCGTCGAAGGAGGTGGGGGAGGGGGAGACTTGACTAGGAGAGCAATATGTAGCAGAAGTGGACTGAGCTACATTAATGTACCAATCGCTGATGACCTGATCCT